CCTGCACCAGACATCACTTGCAAAGTGAAAAATAGTAGAAATAGTGTGGATCAACCTGGGGCAAATGTAGTGCCAGAGCTTCTGTTGTCTGTTCGACAGCATCACCAATGGGAGCCACAGGGTCTGCACAGCAGTGGTTGTAGGAGAGGTACGTTGGCCAGAGCATGGTGTGGTTCTGTTTTTTTGTTTGTTTGTTTGCTTGTTTTTTTGCTGCATAGCCTTTGATTCTGTCTCTCTGCCCATCCCATTGGAATTTGTGAAATTCCAAATGTCATTGAATAGATTCCTTACTGAGTAAATTATCCAGAATAGATTCTGTTGCTTGCAATAAAGAAATTAGACTAATACATTAACCAGTTCATTCTATGGGACAATTATAGAACCTATCTTGTAACTTAACAATCATTTTTAAATTATTTTTTTTATCTTGAGATACTTGAAGATTCATAGGCAGTTGTAAGGAATAATATGAGAGACCCATGGGCCCTTTACTCAGTTTCCCCCAATGGTAACATCTTACAAAACTGTAGTACAATTTCACAACCAGGGTATTTTTTTGTAATATTTATTTATTTAAGTGATCTCTATACCCAACATGGGGCTCAAACTCATGACCTCAAGATCAAGAGTGACACTCTTCCAACTGAGCCAGCCAGGTGCCCCACAACCAAGATATTGACATTAATAGGGCATTGATACAATTAACATCCAGGACATTTCCACCACAAGAATCCTTCATGTTTCCCTTTTATAACCATGCCAACTTGATCCTATTTCTACCCCTGCTTATCCCCTGGCAACCACTAATTTGTTCTCCATTTCTATAATTTTGGCATGTAAACTTTGTTATATAAATGGAATCATTAAGTATGTAATCTTTTGGGATTGGCTTTTTTTTACGCAGCATATGATTCATCCAGATTGTCGCATGTATTGTTACTTTGTTCCTTTTTATTGCTGAGTAATATTCCATGGTATGGGTTACCATGGTTTAACTATCCACCCACTGAAGGACATCTGAGTTGTTTCCAGTTTGTTTATTACGAATAAAGCTGCTGCAGTTATTTGTGTATGGTTTTATGTGAACATAACTCTTTATTTCTTTGGGTTATATGCTCAGGAGTACAGTTGACATGGTAGTAGCTTATTTAGTTTTTAAGAAACTGCCAAATAGTTTTCCAGAATGGTTGTACCATTTTACATTCCCACAAACAATGTATGAGTGATCCAGTTTCCCTGTGTACTCCCTAGCACTTGGTTGCCAATATTTATTTTACGCATTCTGATACATAGTAGTGATATCTCATTAAAGTTTTAATTTGCATTTGTCTAACGGCTAATGATGTTGAACATTTTTCAGTGTGCTTATTTGCCATCTATATATACATTTTAGAAATACCTCTTAACGTCTACCCCCATATTCTAATTGGATTGTTTGTCTTTTTAATATGGAGTTTTGAGAGGTTTTTAAAAATATATGTTTTAGATACTAGTCCTTTGTTGGATATGTAGTTTGCAAATATATTTTTTCCCAGTGTGTAGTCTGTCTTTTCATTCTCTTAACATGGCTTGTTGCACAGTGAAAATTTTTAATTTTGATGAAATCCAGTTTGTTAATTCTTTCTTTTAATGATTTCGCTTTTGGTCCAAAGTCCTGAGAACAAGGAGCACCAACGTCCAAGGGCATGAGAAGATGGATGTCCCAGCTCAAGCAAAGGCAGCAAATTTGTTCTTCCCCTATCTTTTTGTTCTGTATGGGCATGTGGCAGATTGGATGATGTCCACCCATCCTTGGTAAGGGTGATCTTCCCCAGCCCTCCCCACAAGCTTCATTGAGATACAATTGACATACAACATTGTGTAAGTTTAAGGTATGCAACGTGATGATTTGCTACACATATATAAAGAAGGGAGTGGTGGCATGGAAAAATACTAGAAAAAAATAAAGGACAAGGATCTTCCTTTTGAGACGCTGTTGACACGTACACATTTCAAACTTCAGTCTCTGGGGCATTACATTACCTTCAAGCTTTTGCCATGTTCAACACCAACCCAACTCTTATCTTTTAAATATATATATATTTTATTAATCTGATAACCTAATTCAATAGGCATTATGTATTCTAGTCTTGTATCTATAAAAGAGAAAGTATATATGGAAATTAAAATATTAAAAGCAGTCCATCTAGACTTGTCACTAAAATTGTTTCAAAAACCATACATTTTTCTTTCCCAAAGGTGATCCCTAACTCTCAATATGGCTCCCTTTGAAAAAGCAATTAGAATGTCCTCAACCCTGACCCAGTGATCTGTTTCTTCCTCCTCTGGTCAGCCGGCCCAGCATTGTCTGTGACATCAAGGCTTACTCGGGTTCACTCAGGATGGGATTTATTGCTCCTTAGGAAGAAGTTTCTTAGTTGTTATCACTGAAACCAGGTGATCTGAGAGGTAACTTGTCACTGATGTACATACCTGAGAGTGCTAGGATATGTAGGTAAATGTCCCATCCTTAATTTTGATGCTTTTAGCACTGTCGATGCAAGCTGGTTATGGACAACAATAAAGACATGATCTTCAAAAGGTGAAATGGATGTTTGAGAGTCTGGAGAATAACAGCCCCCAAGGCAATCATAACAAGGTCAAGCCGTGAAGAATAGGTGGAAGAGTTTAGACAGAAGAAGATTCTGTTGAGGAAGAGCCTTCCCAAAATCGAAACTCAATGACTGAGGGCTTCAATAGTGAAGGTTTTGCTTCGGTCCCGGCTCTGCTGATTGTTGATTTCATAACTTGGGGCAAGTGTACTGTACTTCCATCTACCCCAATCTTCTCATCTGTAGAATGGGGAAAATAGCTCTCATCTCCCTCATAGAATTGAAGACTGAATGGAAAACCTGTACATGAGCAAAGCATTTATTGGAGTCCCTGGCACATAGGCAGTGCTCAGTAAAAAGTAAATACTATTGTTATTGTTATTATTATTATTATTTGGTATTACTATGGTATCAAACAAAAGATCCTGGAATTCGAATAGACCGCACCGAACACTGAATGCTACCAGGAGGCGGTGTCTGCCAAGATGCGCCTGCTCCGAGAGCCTGTGGTTGCTAGCTTTGCTAGCCGGGACTCTCTGGATGCCTACAGCCAGTTGTGACAGCTGCACTGGAGGTGTGTGGGGTGCCGGGGCCTGGCGGCGGTGGTGATGGTGATGACTCACTACACAGTAGGACGTGGGAGATAAGGGGGTTATGCTCCTGAGGCAGCTCCCAGAACAGAGGCGACTTTGCCTCCAGGAGGCAGCAGGGTGGGGAGGGGCGGTCTGGCAACCCTGTTGCCATATGTCCATGGCTGGCTCAGCTTCTCTAGGAGAGACACTAAGCCCAGGCCACAGTGGTTGTTCACAGGGCTCACGTAACACAGCACACTTGTGCCTCAACCATCTCTTATCTAATCTGAATTGTCCCTACTACCATTTTCCTAGAGAAACATCAGCCCAGAGGGCTTGACTGAGGAGGAGAGGCACGGGGAGGGGAACAGGTGTGAGGGAAGCTAGAAGTTCAGGGTTGATTATCTGGGGTAAGGGGTAAGGGAGATCAAAAAGAAGGTACAATTGATTTGCATCCAAACAGACCGAAAACCTCTAAAATCCCAAGTCATCATTTTGGTCTCAAGATGATTCCTACAGCAGCCCTTAACCATAATTCCACTTTCTACCACCAGCATCGCCACTTTCTTGGTCATCCAGAAAAAAACTATGAAGCCCATCTGTGACTGTTACACTCACTCCCTCCTCCCCGACTCCATCAGCTTCCATGACTTTACCCCTCCCATGAAATTTTTCTGTCCATGTGTTTACATCCCCTCCACTGTCAGCCTGGGCCAAGCCTTCACTTCCTATTCCGGTACCAGCCAAGTACCAGTGTGTCTCTTGTCTCTCATCTTATCAGTCCAGATCCCCAATGCCACCCCAGGTTTACATGGCTACTATTTTCATCACATTAAACTCCTCCTCAGAAAACTTCCATCTCTCCTTTTGTGAGGTCCAAAGTCCGGACTTTTCTTCATGACTTTCCTGATACTCTATAATATGGCCTCCATAGGCATGTTAGCTTTGTTCTACTTCACGAACCGTCGACAGGGAGCCTTACCTCCATCCCGACAAATGCACCATAGCACAGCACTGATGTGGGCAGGAAATACTGCTGAGGTACCATTCGTGCGACTACCCTATTTTGCCTGGGCTGGGAAAACAAGGGGCAGAGGTGAAATACCTTCTCTCAGAAATGTGCTCACGGCGAGCACATGCGGGGGAGACCTCAGTATGATGCGGGAAAGAGAGTTTCTGGCTTGGAATGCAATTAATTCCTACAAATCTTTATAAAGCATCTTAGGTCGATAGGAAGGAAAAAGGGACACCGTCCCTGCCACTAAAGATTTGCAATCACTAGGGAGATGAAGATGCATCTGTGTGGAAAGAACACAGAATGAAAGACTCAGTAATGCCTCATTCTTCCTAGAAGGTATGAGGCCCTGTAAGGTGGGCAAGGCAAACATTAGACTCATTTTCTAGATTATAAAACTTTCTCAACTGCTTGAGAACTTAAGTGGCTTGTGTATTGTCACAGGGCTAATAATTAGCAGATCAGGGTCTCCTGGCTGTGCACTGCTTTGCCTGCAAACAGTGGGGTTATGACATACCCTGAGAGCCATCAAGCATTCCCAGGAGCTGTGAGAGCTCCTGGCTAAGGTGATACTTACCTGAGAATTGAAGGACCCTGGAGATTTCAATCATAGGAGAAAGGAGTAGAGAAAGAATATTTCAGAAATAAAGAAACCCTTTGAGCAAAGGCACAGAGCGGGACAAGAGGAGCCACCCAAGAGCAAGATTGCTTGAGGAGTGAAGACTCCCTCCCTTCTCCTCCCCTGAGAAGCTGAGATAAACGAGGAGGAGAGGTCTGGGTGTCTCCGGACTGATAAACAGACTCCACCCAGAGGCCAATAGCATGGGTATGGGGACAGGAGCGTCATGTGGCAGAAGTGCCCCTTCTCCAGGACAAATGAACTGGGGACCGGGTAGGAGGGAGGCCATTTCCTGAACCCCTGTTTTCACACTCAACACCTAGGGCAGAACCAGGAAGCTTCTGGAAGCCAGGGAGGACTGACAGACGGCAAGTCCCCTGGAGAAAACCGTTCCCTTCTGGGGTCGGATGGCTAGGGTGGGGGTGGCTGGCCCTGTGTGCGAGTGCTGTGCCCCCGCAGTAGAGAGGGGGGAATGTGAGGCTTGGAGAGCAGAAATGGGAGAGGAGAGGGAGGTATCCGGAGAGGGAGGAAAATAGGGGCGAATCCAGGGGAGGGGCCCATTCTGAAGCCCGTCTGGGAACACTGCCCTGGATGATAGCGCCCGTGTGACAGGAAGCGTCAAAACGACCTGATATAACTCTCTTTAATGCACCCCCTTCCTGAACCCGCTTCTCTCCCCTCCCTCCTCCTCAGTTCAGGAGGGTGGAGACCAGAGTGAGGAAGAACCCGGGCCGGGGGAATGAGCCGGGCAGGTGGAATGAGACCTCCGTGGAGCCAGGAGGTAAGTGCCGTCCTTGACCCTTGTGGGGCAGATGGATGACATCCCTTCCAGCTCTAACATCCCACAAACTCTCAGCCCTCACAGCCTGCTTGGTCCTTACCCAGAACAGGTGGCATTTCTTGTTTGCACATCTCTCCGGGGGCCAAGTAGGGCTGGGTTTAGGGAGAATGAGGAGAATTCTCTCTCTACAAAGGGGCCCTGGCACTAACTTTGTCTTTCTCTCTCCTCTCCCCTTTCTCTTCCTCACCCCTGTCTCCCAATCCCCTCCATCTTGTGGTTTTCACTTCCTGGTTCCCGGCGCAGAGATCTCCAGAAGAAAGGCTGCCCACTGCCACTGAACCTGGCGGACAGTGGTCCGTGGTCAGGCGGGTGCTAACGGCTGGCCTGCTTTTCAGTGGGCTCCTTGGTTTCTCTGTGCTTTTGGTCTACATCTTCCGGAGCTGTGGCCCTAGTAAGCAAGATCCTGGAATCCCCCAACCTAGTGAGCCCTTCCTCATTCGGGGCAGCACCCCCCGGCCCGTCATCCTGAGGCTTTGTGTCCGCGGACGTACTCACCACGTGTCCTGCCCGACCCTCTGCTCCCGCCCCACGTCCCCACTTCTTCCTCCCCATCCTGCCCCTGGTGCTGTCCTTCTCACAAGGTCCCTCTCCCCTTTCTTCACCAGGCCTCCCTTTGCCCAGCCCCTTGGGGGAGCCCTGTCCCTTTCTCTCTCCCTCTCTCCCTCTCCCAGTTCTGAGCTTTTCCCCACAGGCCCCTGTAAGACTCCTGTGTGTTGGGATCTCCTGGCTCGTTACCTGGCCTCTGGAAACACCAGTGTGGCCCCCTGCACCGATTTCTTCAGTTTTGCCTGCGGACAGGCCAAAGGGACCGATTACTCCTTCCAGGCTCTTGCCGAGGAGAACAAAAGCCGACTTCGGAGAATACTGGGTGAGGCACCCTGGGCAAGTGGGTGGCTCTGAGCCTAGAACTATCTTGCTGTCCCAAACCTGTGTGCTTGCGGGACAGCTGGTTTGCTTCTCCGTCACCGCAGCTTGCACCTCGGTACCTCCCCACTTCTCTTCTGGTCCCTCTCCTCATCTTTCCTTTCCTGCTTGCCCAGGACTACGAGTTCTCATCAAGCTCTCCCCTTCTTTGTCACTGCCCCTAAATGTTCTATTTCTCTCCCATGCCTTGGACCTTCCCCACCCATGTCCCCTCGACACCTGCTGCACAAAAGCTCATGTGTCCGTCACGCTCAGCCTCCAGCCCCCGACTCTGCTTGTCCCCTAGCGCCCCATCAGTGCTCCATGTCATCCCCTCCTTCCCAGCACTTCCGGCCCCCTCTCACCATTGTCTCCTGTTCTCCATGCAAACCTTGGACCTTGGTGTGAAAGCTCGACTGGAAAAACGGGGATACTGGGGCTGGCTGGTTGGGATGATGGGGCCAGTGGGGTGAGGAGTTGGGGGGGTATCTGGCTGTGTGCCAGGGAATGGATCCAGATGGGAGCAGGGGTTGTTCTGGCGGCAGAGGAGAGGGCCCACCTAAAGCCCCGGTGGTGGTACAAGAGAGGCTATGCGTGGAGAAGACGAAAGAACGGACAGGAAAAGTCTAGGGGAGGAGCTGCGGCTGTCTGGGAGGTTGGAAGTGGGTCCCAGGAAGTTGGAAGGTGGTGGTGAGGATGGGGGAATAAGATGGGGTACAACAGGCACACATTTCCAGTGTCAGGAAGCCGAGGGAGCTGAGGGAGCGCGTTGGCGGTATCCGCTGGAATCTGGGACACATGAATGTATCCCTCTGCCCTCCTGCGGATGGAGAAAGAATGGAGGCAGGCCTTCCCTTGGTAGTGGGGCCATGCTTCCAGTTAAGGCCCAGAGATGAAAATGTAGGCTCAGGACGAATGCTGTCGCCCATGAGACAGTGAAGGGTGTCGGGGGCTGAGGGACAGGTGGTGGGCATTACAAGGTGGCTGATTCCAGAACATTCGCCGTCAGGTTATTGCCATGTGTTTGCTTGTTTCCCGGGGTCCTGAGAGGGGGTCTGGACCCTGTTCTTCTCCTGGCTAAACCTTTCCGGATGAGTTTTCCTCCCTCCAATCCCTCAATGTTCTCTGGTTTCCCCAATTTTTCTAATCTCTTCACTCACCTCCCCCCTGCCTTCCCTTTGCACCCTTTCTCCTGTACGCAGAGGTGCTCTAGACGTTCTTGTCTCTTCCTTCTTTTCCATGTCTCCTCCTCCCTGATTCTCTTTCGTGTTCTCCCGTCGAGCTGACCCAGCCCTCCCACCACCCCACCCGTCCGCATCCCTGTGTCCCTCCCCTTCCTTCCATCTCCCTGGGGGTCCTCCCGTTCTCGCCCACCTTCTCCGTTCAGCTCTCTACTCCTCTGATTTTCTCATGCTTCCTCTCTAGAAGCCCCAGGTTCCTGGCACCTGGGCTCTGGGGAGGAGAAAGCCTTCCAGTTCTACAGCTCCTGCATGGACGCAGATGCCATCGAGGCTGCTGGGGCTGCCCCCCTCAGACAAGTCATTGAGGAGGTGAGACCCGGGGCCAGGTCTAGACACATAATGCATTTCTCGATACATAACACATAGGACCAACGTGTGCTCAGTGCTGCCACCCCCTTTTTATTCTAGAAAGGGGGGCGGGTGTCTATTTCCTAGGGATCTCCAAGTTCTAGGAGGGAGATGGAAATGGCAGTACCCTCTGGAGGCATGAGGACCCTGGGTGCGGTAGAGAAAGAAGGCTAGAAGTGGGGCCTGGAGGGCTCCAAGCACTCAGAGTAGCCGTCGGGGAGTAGCAGCTGTCTGAGGAAGCGGGTGGAGGCAGGTGTCCCAGGCCATGCCCCTATGCTGAACCCTGTCTCTCTGCTTCCCAGCTCGGAGGCTGGCGAATCTCCGGTAATTGGACTTCCTTAGACTTTAACCGAACTCTGAGACTTCTGATGAGTCAGTATGGTTATTTTCCATTCTTCAGAGCCTATCTGCGACCTCGTCCAACCCCTCCATACACGCCAGTCATCCAGGTGAGGGATGCACTGGCAAAAATGCAGTAAGACCTGGGCCTGCCTCGTATTCTAGCCTAGCATCTCCTCATGGGAGGTTGGGGGCTGGAGAGAGAGGACAAATGTGCAATGTGGGAAAGATCCCTATCTTGAGGGAAAATTATTGATGTGACAGCCAGGGACACTAGGTGAAATTAGGGAAAGAAGCAGTAGGGCCAGTCCGGAGAAGACAGAAGTAGTTCCTATCTTTCTTACTGTTTATCTGGATTATCCCTACTGCCTCTTAATTAGCCCCCTTATCTCCAGTATTGCTCTCCTCTTATCTACTCTTCATTTTTGCTAGAGGGAGCTTTCTAAACCAAGAGCTAATTATGCTATTGGCTCTGTTTAAATGCCTCCAATGCCTTACCAGGTCATCACGATCTAGTTCTTAATCCTTAGCAAAGCATTGCAAGTCCTTTTGTGATCTGACCCTTACACACTTCTCCAGCCTTATCTCCAGCCCCACCGCTTGTCCCCCTTAAACCTCAAGCCATGCTCCCTCATAACTTCAAGAATATTCCTCAATTCTTTGACTGTATGACTCCTTTTGCTTGCAACACTACTGCCCAACCCCCCAAGCTCAGCCTGGAAAACTCTTACATATTTTTCAAGTTTGGGGCTTGATATTTATCTCTTCCAGGTAGACTTCACTGACACCCTAGTTATGGGATAGGTAGACCCCTCAGTCCTCCCACTTCCCAAACTCTCATCATTGAACACCGTGTTAAAAGACCATGTGCCCCTGAAGAATAGGACCACATCTTATTCGCCTCTGTTCCCCAGGATCTAGTAGTGTGCCTGGCAGCCAGAGGCCCACAGCAGGTGTTTGCTAAACAAGTAAATAAATAAAAATGCTGACGTTATCAGTATTGTGGTAGGCAATGCAATGCCATCTATTTAGCTCCTGCTCTCGAGAATTCCACAGAACTATATGGGGATGAATATACAAGAAAAGCTGTTGTTAATCAGTATGAGGCGTTCTAGATTTCTGTTCTAAAGGGTATGTTCAGGAGCTTAACTGGTGTGGCCTTTAGGGAGTAGTTAAGATCTGAAATGGTTAAGGAATGGCTCAGAGAGGGGAGAATGTGAGCTGAGCCTTGAAACATGGTTGAATCGCACAGGTGAAGCTAAGGGCATGAGGAGGGCTTCGGGAAAGTCCTGAGCTAAGGGAAGAGGCTGGGATGGTGTGACTCCTCTGTGGGGTCAGGGAGAAGGCTGGTTTGTGGAACAGAGGATTTGGGGGAGGGGTGAGGTGCGGTGGGAGATAGATAAGAGCAAGACTGAAGACTTGAGGTTAGGCCTGATTATTCCTGGCCTCAGAAGCCAGATGGACGTGATCACTTCAACTTAATAGAAAAAAAAAAAAAATGCTGCTGGGTCCCTTCAAATATGATGGCTGTGCGTTGCACTTAAGCAGAGGCAGCAATTTTAGAGGTCAACCCGGAGATGTTGGAGTCTAGATGAGAAATCTGGAGGTTCTGAACTGAGATGATTGTGAGGAGTTGAAATGGAAAGAAAAGGCCAGGCATGAAGATTTAGGCAACTTCATCCCAGTGGTGATGGTCCATGGTGCTTCTAGAGGACTTGGCGGCTGACTGAATGTAAATGCAGAAAATGGAGAAATTGGAAAATGACCCGAGTTTTGATGTGCTGTGAGTGGGAGGAGTGTGGTTACCATCCAACTGGAGACTGGATGGACTCTGAGGAGAAAAATAGGTAGAATGGACTGCAGAGGGAGCACCCGCATAGGGGTCTGGGGGCAGGGAGGGGGAGTCAGACCAGTATGGCTGAGCCACAGAGGACAGGGGAGGAGCGTCTCAGGAGGGATGGATCACCATGGATTCCAGAGATTTCTGAGCTCAGAGATAAGGAATGAGAAGACACCATTGGGAAACTTCTAGAAAAGAGTATCAAAACAGTTTTGGAAATGGACAGATGGTACAGAGTTTGAGGGGAAGGCAAGGGGGTTGAAGCAGAAACATAGATGACTTTTAGTTCTTCAAAACGTGGACATAAAATGTGACAGAGGAGCCATGTGAAAGATTTTTCAAGATGGGGGAAGTGTACAGCTCGAGGTGGGAGCGGGTTATTGAAGTTGGAGCAGAAAAAGGCAAAGCGTGGGAGCAGAGATCTTCAAAACAGAATCAAGGACATGCCAGGACTGGGCACCTGGGTGGCTCAGTCGTTAAGCGTCTGCCTTCGGCTCGGGTCGTGATCCCGGGGTCCTGGGATCGAGTCCCACATCGGGCTCCCTGCTCGGCGGGAGGCCTGCTTCTCCCTCTCCCACTCCCCCTGCTTGTGTTCCTGCTCTCGCTATCGCTCTATCTGTCAAATAAATAAATAAAATCTTTAAAGAAAAAAAAAGAAACAAACAAAAAAAGGACATGCCAGGACTAAGGTGGGGCAGATGAGGTAAGTGAGTCACTTACCTGTGCGCGAAATCAAAGAGGATACCAAAAACAGTAATCAAAATAAGTATTTTATTATTTTTTTAAAAAATCAAAGCCAATGCAAAAAATCCATGATAAACAAAATACCAAATTTTTGTTCATTGTGGATTTTTTGAAGAGATTATTTCTCCCCAAAATGGACCAAAATTTTATTGCAGACTTTAAAAAAAATCTTTAATTTTTCTTCGAAATGGATAAAAAATACCCTTTGGATTTTCAGGAAAAAAAATCCACAATGAAAAAAGCTTTGGTATTTTAGTCAGCATGGATTTTAGCATTGATTTTTATTTTAAAAAATACCAATTAGGGTATTTATCCTGATTACCATTTTCAGTACCTCTTAAATCTTGCACCTGAGATGGTTTCTCACTCCCTTAACTCTAGACCTGGCCCCAGCACAGGGGATGGCTCCCTTCAGGACACGGATTAGTATGCTTCTCTCTTGCTGAGCACCCCCAAACTGGTTGAAATAACCACCCTGTCTTGACATTTCCATGTCCAGACTCTTTTTCCCCGTCACTCCTGGCCCCAATCCTTCCCTTTCTTTGTCTTCTCTGCTCCTTCTCTGTGTCCCGAGGCCATCTTCCATGGTACATTCCCCTTCTCCCCACACCTGTCCTCTCCTTCCTCCATGCTCCCTACTTCTCTCCAGTATCTCTTGTGTCCAGATAGACCAGCCAGAGTTTGATGTTCCCCTCAAGCAAGAGCAGGAACAGAAGATCTACGCTCAGGTAAGATGGCTCTATGCACAAAGGTCAGGTCCTGACCTCTGATGCTCAGAGGAAGGCAGGGGCCTCTGGTGGCTGTGACTGAGGTTGCCCCTCCCCCAGATTGTGCGGGAATACGTGACTTATCTGAACCAGCTGGGAACCTTGCTGGGAGGAGAACCAAACAAGGTGCAAGAACATGCCTTCCTGTCCATCTCCATTACCTCGCAGCTGTTTCAGTTTCTGAGGCCCCTGGAGCAGCGGCGGGCACAGGGAAAGCTCTTCCAGATGGTCACCATTGACCAGCTGCAGGTGCCTTGAACTGGGGACTGGAGGAGGGTGGGCAGGAGGGCTTCCCTCCTAAACTTCCTTATTCTCCTGATCTCCTTTCTCCTCATTCCCTAATTCCTTCCCATCCCAACTTTCCTGGTTCCACCCCTTCCCCCCCAAAGCCCCCGCCCCACTCCCTGTCGAACCCTGAGGGAGGGGAAACCTCCTCCCCTTAATCCCTTCCCCCTCGGCCTTGGTGTCCCTCCTCTAAGGAAATGGCCCCCGCCATCGACTGGCTGTCCTGCTTGCAAGCGACGTTCACGCCAATGCCCTTGAGCCCCTCCCAGCTCCTCTTGGTCCATGACCTGGAATATTTGAAAAACATGTCTCAACTGGTGGAAGAGCAGCTGTCGAAACACAGGTTTGCCTCAGGTGGGATCGGGGAAGGATGAGGGCAATGGGAAAGGTCTGAGGACCCAGAGGCCTCAGGGACAAAGATGATTATGGAAAATGCATGCTGATAAGGTCCTCCCAGGAACATGGAAGGGATCCTCGGACACAAACGGTTAGAGAAGGGTTGGGGTGGATGGCCCAAGAGGGAATGGAGGGAACAGGAAATATGAGATGTTTGGGGGGCACGGGAAAGGGAAAACACACATGAAATGGGGACTACAAGTGCCCAGAAAGATACAGGGTTTGCTGGGAGTAGAACCCAGCCTGCGAAGAGCCTCTAAGCTATAGGAGTTGCTAGATGGCCAATCACTAGGGACAGGGAAGGCATTTGTGTCTTGTCAGCAGCTGGGAGGTGTGGGCAGGAGGTGGAGGCACATGAGGCCAGTGGCTGGATGAGGTGAAGGCTGGGGATTCTCTGGGGGGAAAGCTGGAGGAGAGGCCATTTCTCAGCTGTGAGAGGATTCTGAGGTCCTTGTGGGTAAGGGTCTGTGTTGGGCCTGGGTGGCCCCTACCCGAAGACAGCAGCTTCCTTCCAGGGGCTCGGGCTCAAGGCCCTTCTTCATAGTAACTCAGTGGCAGCAAATTCTAGAAATTCTTTGTGAAGGAAGCTAAGGACCATTCTTGTGGGTGTGAACAAGTTTATGTAAGGTTACAAATCAGATGTAAAGTGAACTGAGATTTCTTGGTTATGGAAGTAGACAAATCTCTCGGTTAAATTCTTTAAGTCCAGTCTTCCTCTAGCTCACACCCTTCACTCCCTGCAACTTGAGAAGTCACCTCTGCATCTAGTTCCTTCTGCTACCGTTCTCCAACTCACACCAAGAAAAGCTCTTCTTAACTTATTCCAAGGTCAAGCCCTTATTTTCTATAGATACAGAAGAGAAGGGCCATCCCCCGGGAGTATCACGGTGACTACAGAAGGGGAGGCTGTTCTCGAGGCACCCCCCAGAGCCCTGGGTTTATGTGTCCATCTCTTTTCCCTCCGCAGAGACTTTCTGCAGAGCCACATGATCTTGGGGCTGGTGAGGACCCTTTCTCCAGCCCTGGACAGTAAATTCCAGGAGGCACGCAGATCGTTGATCCAGAAACTGGGGGAGCTGACCGAAAGACCACCCATGGTGAGGAGAGGAGGGGATGAATTTTCCCAGAATGGGGGCTAAAGGAGCATTTGACATTTTGAGCGATAAATGTTGGCATATCTCTCCCAGGGAAAGGGCATGAGGGCAGTGCCCTTCAATGTCTGGTGTTTCTATAGAAGCAGACAGGTTGGGCATACAGTAGTTATATTGAGGACTGAGATGCCAGGTACCAGACATTTACACGCATCTGGCTACTTTTATGGCCTTTGGCTGAGTATTAAGGTGTAAATATAAGACTCTACAATGATCAACAATTGCTTTTCCTTTCTTATGACCTTTAAACTATTTACCTAGTTATCCAGAGCTCTGTGATTTAAGGACATGGACCTAAAGCTTAGGATTCACTGGGATGCAAGACATGAGTAGCAGGCAGTGGCCTTTCCTCTATCTACGTGATTCCAGTGTTTGATGTTCAAATGCGCTTCACAAAGAGTTCATCTCTGACATCTAGTGGGATCTGTTGGGCCACAAGATGGGCTTCGTGGTCCAGATCCCGATATATCTGAAGTGGTGGCTGTGTAGCAAACACACTAACCCAGGTCTCCTATGTCACATAAAATGTGGAGACACTCCTTTACCAAGAACTTTGAAACCCTAGCTCAGACATGTCCAAATGCAAGCAAAGGTATCTAGAACATTAGATATGCTCCAACCTCAGTCAAGGCCTCAGTGTAGTCTTGAAAATCACTGCGGTTTCTTCTTCTTAGTCATTTGTGGACCCTTTCTGTGGCTTGGAGAAACTCACTGCTTTGGCGACCTGAAGCATCTGGAATTCAGAGAGGGAAAATGTATGCATAGGGACTGCGATGTCATTATTGAGTATTGGAAGTGAGATATTTTTCTAAACCTTTTAGATATGTATGAACTGATTTAATCCTCTGAAGAATTTCATCAGGTAGGCATATCATTTATTGCTGTTTTATGAAGGGGAAATTAAGCTACAAAAGCTAAGTAACTTGCTCAGGGTATTATAGCTAGTAAGTTGGTAGAGCTAGGATTTGAACTCTGGTAGTCTGGCTTGAGGGTCTCTGCTTGATCGCTGTGGTAAGAATAAAACAAAACAAAACAAAACACTCCTTTTTAGGACTTTCACTCAGGTGGGCAAGTCCCCAAGAAGCTTCTACCCAGCCTTTCTCTTGACACAGATGAAGCAGACAGAGCTCCAACTCCTCTTAGTTGGCATTGCTACAAAATCCCTGGCAACAAACAGCTTCCTGTCAATCCCAGAACCATGGTCTGATGGCACTTCTTGAAGGATGTAAGTGTGCCGATACTGAAATCACACTTGAAGAACTTAAAAGACTTACGAATTGCTAAAGTTGCCATCCTTTATATACTTCCATACCTCCTTTATATCCAATTTGTCCATCCTCTTATACCCATTGGATTATAGCTGTCCTTGGGCTTGAAAGCTGAGCCAAGTTCTACCAACAAATAGAATAATAGCTAATGAACAGTGAATGTTACTGTATGTCAGGCACTGCTTGGAACTCTTAGCGTGGGTGCTTTTATTTAACCCTCCAGAAACTCTCTGAGGTCCTCAGAAAGGGCAAGTAAATTTCCGCAGACCACACAGCTCATTTAGTGAAGAAACAGACCCCAAAACAGACCTGTCCACCTCAGGAGGCCACGTTTTTAATTACATACTATGCAGGATTGAGAAATAAGTGGGTAGAAAAACAGAAAATGGGTTGGAAAATTCTTTCTACAAAGGTCAAGATAGTAAATACTTTTGGTTTTGTGGCCCATATGGTCTGTGTTGCAACCACCCAGCTCTGTCCTTGTAGCACAAAAGCAACTACACGCGGAGTAAATGAATGGGTGTAGCTGCGTTCCAGAAAGACTCTGGCTCACACAACAAACACTCAGAGTTCCCAAGAGGGAGACCTGAGGGAGGGTTTGAATGGCAGTGGGATCTCTGTGCTGGAAGTAGGACAGAGGCAGTTATCTAGAGAGTTGAAAGGGTTTTCTGGCAAAGAAAGGGACATCATTTCTTTGGGACAAGGCATGGAGCAGGCTGGCTAAACTTTGGGGCCACGTGGGGGATCCCCCTGTAGCTCTGGCTGAGAAGAGATGATGAGGCATGCGTGGAAGTTTCTGCCTGCTTCCGCTGGCACAGAGAGCCAAAGGGAGGAAATCAGAGAGGGATGGAGGGGGCCCTCCAGGGCCCAGTAGGCCACTGGCAGGCCTTGGCTTTTCTCGGCATGAAATGGAGGCCTACAGAAAGATTGATCTGTTTTATGTTTCAAAAGAACATATTTTGAAGGTAAGCAACAGGCTCTCTGATGGATGTGTGCCACGAGGAGAGGAGAGTCAGACATGGCCAAGGCGCCGGCCTTGATGTGACCAAAATTCATAGTCCTACCCAATGGTTATTAATTGCAGATTTCTATCCATATTCTTTGGAATGAATTCTAATTTATAGCGTCCTAATTCAGAAATACTATATCTCATTATCTGGCGATATTTTGTTGAATAATTTTGAATATACAGTCAATGAAATGGCCGTTAAGCCAGGTCTTTCTCTTATTAAACTTGAGAAGCTGAATTTGGGGAAGTAAAAGCAGAAGGTCACATTTGTGCCTGTGGAATGAACTCTTTTTATTCATCCCAACATCCTGACTTGTTCAGGTAATTTTAGCCTTTGTTCCAGTCCTCTGTTGTATTACCTTTCCCTTCCCACTGTTGGTCATTTGCAGTTTTGTTTAGTGTATCTTCATCTGGACTATGATTAAAATCCCGAAGAAGGAAGAACAGCATGTCAGGTCATTGAAGACCTAGCATTAAATTCATCCATTCATTTATGCAACCAAAATGTTTACTGAGCACCTACTATGTGCCAGACACTTCTCTCTGCACTTGGGATACCACACGAACAAAAGACAAAAGCTCCTGCCCTCAGACACTGATATTCTGATGAAGGAAGAAAGACGATAAACTAAGTAAATAAAATATGTTCAGTGGCGATTAGTGTTACGGAGAAAGAAACCAGGAAAGGGCGAGATGGCGTGCTAGGTGGGGAGCGTGTTGCAGTTTTTGGTAGGATGGTCAGGGAAGCTCATGCGGACTTGGAGTCATCAGTCACTGAGGTTTCATTATGGTTCAGCCAGCTAAGAAGTCACACAAATTACACTACCTTCCAACACAGATTTTTGCATCTCATTCACAAGGACTTAGTTTATGGCTTTACCAAATGCCTCCATGAAACAAATGGCAACACAGTGAGGGAGTACATTAAGGTTTACGAAGTGCTTTCAATGTGGTGTTTCACCTGGTCTCCCAAGCAATGCAGTGGGGGAGGCAGGACAAGTTTTACTCTCCCGTGGACAGCTCCTGTAACCAAAGGGCAGGGGTTAATAATCCACATTTAGTAAATGTTGAATTCTCTGTTCAGGGATAGTATCATGGTGGTTCCTTGAGGATGAATCTGGCCAATTGACGTGTTTTCTTGGCCTTAAAGCTTTTGACAAACTTTTAGCTAATCACCAACAGTTAAAAATTAGGAGATTGCACGCCAACAGTCACATCTCCGGCATTTTTGTGTGCTTGTGTGGTAAACGTAAAGTGTAGGCAGCACTGGGCTAGCGTTCTTCAGGGGTCACAAATGACAGGGGCTGAGTGAAGCAGCTCTATTCAGCCTGGGTGTGTTCTGCCCATTGACCCTTGTCCCTCTGTGCCCCGTGGGTCTGACACTGCTTCTCAGTTACGCCACCACGTGGCCCGTATCTGAGTCTGTGACTCCTGGTCTCTGGGTTATCCAAGTTTGGTGAAGATTTTAACCAGAAAAATTGTTATTATTTTGGCATTATTTGTCCTTAGTGATCCTCAGCGGATCCCTTAGTAGTTACATGCTGTTTCTCAAGTGTTCAGAAATGATCTGTTTAATGACTCATTCTAGAATTTGGTGTCAAAATTAACATTAAGGATTCCTGGCTGACCTGTAATCTCTAAAATTTACTTTCCCTCTACGGCAAATTAAGAAAATTTGTGCTTCCCTCCAGAGTCCTAGAATTTTTTTCTGATTTCTATTATTTCTTAAATATTATTTGTGGTTCTAAGGTTATATCTGCAACTTGTCTTCTGTTCCCTAAAATTAATCTACTGGGCTTCATTATCTTGAGTTTGAAGCATTTCTTTCATCTTTTATATTTTGGCAATGATTTTTTCCCCTATATTTCTTTCTTTCTTTCTCTCTCTCTCTCTCTCTTTTAGAGAGAGGGAGCGCACATGAGAGAGAGTGAGGGAGAGGGGCAGAGGGATAGGAAGAGAGAAAATCTTAAGCAGGCTCCATGCCCAGGGCAGAACCCTATCTCATGAACCTGAGCTGAAATCAAGAATCACCTGAGCCACCCAGGTGCCCCTCTTTTTCTCTATTTTTAATATATATGATATGCTCTATCATTCCATGGCTTGAAAGACAGCTCAGATACTCAGAACCCCTAGTAGAGGAATATATAACCTGTCAACTTCCACCCAAGACCTACATTTATTTATAGATTCTGTAAGTTATTTTCCTGCTCATTGGAGATGTGACCCAGCACAACTGTGACCAAAAGAATCCCAGAGTTTCACAGGGGTTAGCAATGGGTAGTCTGAGGTGGCATCTATGCTCTCCAGTAACCAGGTCAGAGCCTGATGCGGCCCGGGCTCTGGGGACAGGCACGGAGGAGGCAAAAGCTGTTGGAAAAATGGGCAGGCATTAGCAAAAGGGATCAGAAAACAACTCAAGAACCAGGAGTTATAGAAAGAGCAGGCAGATCACACTACCAAGCTCAAGGCTGATGTGTTTGCTGCTGCCCCGGGGGTGGCCCCTACCTCCCCCTCAACCCACTGCCAACAGCCTGATGAAAGTCAGTCTTAGATCCAGGCATGTGATCAGGAGGACTGTGGGGGATGGAAAGACACTGGAGGTGGCCAGCAGAGACTGCCCTTGACCCAGTCATGGCTGTCAGATCCAGGTTCTCTTTCAATTCATCTTTGCTGTGCACGTTTGTGTTTTAGAGCTGCAACCAATACACTACAGAAAGTGGCTAAGTCCTTATCCTCACAAGAGGGAACAAGAACAAACAAATGTGGGCAACCAGGTCTGGGGCAACCTTCAAAATTGTGAACGTCAGAACAGGCAGGCGCAGAAGTGTCTTCTTCGATGACAACAATACTGGCCTTCCCTTTTTGTTTCCTCTCTTGTGAGAAGCCCCTTAAACTCTCTCTCCAATCTTGGCACCAGAAAGCATAGTGGCAACCTAACTACCTTCCCTGTGAGGAGATCTGTGAGGAGTAAATAAGTTACAGGAATGAAGTCTTGTGACTTCATCCCACTTACCCCAAATTAACATATTAGCTATTTTTCCAGAGTCCCAGATCAAACTTCCCCTAGGCCAGCTCTCTCACCCTCGGCCCCATCAGCATGTTTCTCAGTCGGCCTTGTGTCATCTCTGGGCCCACTTCATGGTCAGCTCCTCAAAGCCATCCACACCGACCACAAACACCTCCCCAGCATCTCTCTTGTGTTGCTCATTTTTTCTGTTCCCATACTAAGAACACCCCAGTTGCCAAGACCCTACTGAGTTTTTGTCTAACCATCTGTCTGCCTTTGAAGTTGATAATATGTCCTTCATCTCATTCTCTTTTCCCTGATTTGGCCAAAAGTTTCGTAGCTCTCTGAATTCACGGGTTTAGTCTTTTCTTTTTTCCCCTTCTCTTACCAAACAATATGGTGTCTAAAACCCATTTTCACTCTGATCATTTTCTTCTTTGTAAGACAAAGTCCTACCAGATGATCCACGATAACCATTTGGAGAGTGGGGGAGGGTGGCAGAAAGGAGAGGAATTACCTTCTCCAATTTCCATTTTAATATGGGAGGGTGGCAGCCTTTACTGGGCTACCAGCGTGGTGCATGTGGCGGGTGGGGACTAGGTGGCCAACAGACTTGCTGAGGTGAGAGGTTTGGTATGTAGTCCTCTCCTATCCAGGAGCCTTTCTGTCCTCCTCTGAGGACAAGTCCTCTGAGAGGACTTGCTTTCAGATTCAGTAGTCAATAAATAAGGATGATCTGCCCAATTCAAGCTCACGAGACTAATCCTGGAGGACATAGCCCTTTTTATTACCAAGTGGTAATAGCCCCCTGTGTATCACCAAAAAGGATGATAGAGCAAAGTGAGACAAACCCAGAAAGACAGGGAAGAGAGCCTCCTCTGGGGGTAAAGGTCTAGACAAGCTAGGCCTGGGGAGATGGATGAGGAAGAATGCTTGATGGGAGCCATTCATTCCATCTTTGTCTCCGTAGCCTTCCCGCCCTCGATGGATGAAGTGTGTGGAGGAGACAGGAACCTTCTTCGAGCCTACGCTGGCAGCCTTGTTTGTCCGTGAGGCCTTCAGCCCGAGCACCCAAAGTGCTGTATGTGAGGGCTCTTCCCCAGCCCATGTGCCTCCACCCCTTCCCACCCAAGCATTCTCTCTTAATTCTATTGACTGTATCCTACTCAGTGGTCTGGATGGTCGGGGAGTCAGGCAGTCACAGAGACAGAGAGAGCACTATGAGAGAGAAGTCAAAGGAGGCCAGGCTGCATCCCTAGGGTTTGCATAGTTTTGCTATGGGAAACAAGTGTGCACAACATGCATGGAATTTGGACAAGTTACCTAACTTCGCTGCTCTTGTGTTTCTTCAACCATAAAATGAGAAAATTGAACTCCATGGCCTTTAAGGCTACTCCCTGTTTATCTATGATTTTTTAACAACACAGGAAACGGCAGGAGAATGGAATGATATAATCTTAAAAAGTGCAAGTAAATGAGTACTGAGTAGTCTTTGAGTGCCTACCATGTGGCTGATACTCTTGTAAGCACTTTGCATGAACTACTTTAATGACTAGTATCATCCTAATTTTAGAGAAGAGAGAACTGAAGCACATAGAGGTTAAGTAACTTGCCCAAGATCGGCTGCCAAATAGTAGAGTCAGGATTTGAGCTCAGGTTTCTGATATCATCATCCATTTACCTCTATCAAGAAAGGATACAAACAAGATGGTAGATGGCTGGGAAAGCAGTAACCACACAGTCTGTTGTGAAGCTGGGAAGACTTTGGAAAGCTGAAATGCCCAGGAAGACGGAGAGAGGAAATGCAGGCCTTAATAGAGTGTGAGGACAAGGGCCCTGAAGAGCAGAGAAGGGAATGATGGTCCTCTTCCTCCCTCTGCTTTCTGAGTAGATTGCCTGGCCAAGGGTAAGGCCAATGGTGTCTCCTTCCCCTGACAAGCTGAGATCTCTCCACAGAAAGGAACTGTCTCCCCTGTTGACCTCGGGAGTGACCAGCTCCCATCCTCCCTTTCTGTGCATGGCACCTCCTTTCTGTCCCCACAGATCTCTGTGCTCTGTTTCTAGTCACCTAGTAAATATTCCTACTTTCTCTCTCAGAGATCTTTCCCCTTCTCTGGTAGCTCCTTGGGGCCAAGGCCCTTCCTAGAGGCCCAGTGGGGAGGACCCCAGACTGAGGCCAACCCTGATCCTATTTCTCTAACCTGGCCCCTTCACAGGCCATGGAACTATTCACTGCGATCAAGAATGCCCTCATCAGCCGCCTCAGAAGGATTCCCTGGATGGATGAGAAGACCCAGAAAGAGGCCCAGAACAGGGTAAGCTCAGGAGTGAAAGACAGGAGTCCGGAGTCAGAAGGGGTGGAATTGAGTATTGGATCCAGAGATCACACTGGTGGGAGGAGAGTGCAAAGGCTCAAGGACACATGGCAAGTGTAAACACCAATATGCTGCACACACACACACCCTGGTGACAATATAAAAGGTGGGACCAGGGCAGTGAGCCTGAGAAATTCCCTCTGATAGACTTGGAGTAGGTAGGTTTCTTCTACATTTTGTGTCTCTCCCCAGGTCACCCAACTGCAGGTGAAGATGGGGGCCCCAGAATGGGCCCTGGAGCCATCACTGGCCAGACAGGAATACAACGATGTGGGTCCCTGCCCTTGCCAGCTCCTCATTAGTCCTCAGCCCCCTGACCCGCCTGAGTGGCAGACAATCTGTTTACCTGGGGCAATCCTAACCAACCCCTTCCTTGCCCTGGTGTTGGCTGGGTTTTATGGGTGAATATCCACACTGTGGGTCTTGCCAGCAGAAGAACAGAACCTTTTCAGGTCACGCTGAGTGTGTGTGCACGCATGTATACATGCATTCTTGTGACTTGCCTGAGTGTGTTTATCTGTGCACTGATTCATGTGAAGCCTGTCTGCTCTGACATGTGGTGGTGTCATTGTGCTGCTGTCCACTGTAGTCTGGATGTCTGTGTGTTGGGGCTTATCTGTCTATGTTCAGATATACCCATCAGGGTGTGTCAGAGGGTATCTGTATTTGTCTCTGTGTATCTGAGTCACCTCCTGCTTCCTCCCAGATACAGCTTGGACCCAGCTACCTACAGTCCTTCCTGAGCTGTGTCCGATCCCTCCGAGCTAGAATTGTCCAGAGCTTCTTGCAGTCTTTCCCCTACCACAGGTATAAGAGCAAGGGGACACAGACCCTGCATCTCAGAGATACCCATTCAAGATTAGCAGCAAAGATGAGGGCTTGGGGATACAGGAACAGCGACAGAAGTTGAGTGGGACTTCATGTCGGGTGGGCGGGACCATAAATGATGTAGCTGGTGTTCATATGTGCTCTTCCCATAGGTGGCAGGTGTCCCCCTGGGGGGTCAATGCTTATTATTCAATACCTGACCATGTGGTGGTCTTCCCAGCTGGACTCCTCCAACCACCATTCTTCCACCCTGGCTACCCCAGGTTAGGGGCCATTCCCTGAGGGTGGGCAGGGGATTTCCCGAGCGTGATGGACAGATGTTATGATGGATGGGACTTGTGGTCGGAGGACTGGAGTCAAAAACTTGGAAGGACTCTGGGAGTAAGACAAACCTCTCTCTCCCCAGAGCCGTGAACTTTGGCGCTGCTGGCAGCATTATGGCCCATGAGCTGTTGCACATCTTCTACCAGCTCTGTGGGTAACAGTGGGCCATTGGGAGGTGGGGCCATTGGGAACCCAGGTGAAGGCCCCAAAAGAGGCCAAGAGGAGGAGAAAGGGAGGGCTCCAGATGGGACAGTTCTGAATCCTCTGCAATGCTTCTGGGGGCCAGCCCAGTCTGTGGTAGCCCCTTGTCCTCATCCTTACATGGCGCCTCACTATTTCTTTACCTGGCCCCATTTTCAACAGTACTCCCTGGGGGCTGCCCAGCCTGTGACACCCGTGCCCTACAGGGGGCGCTGCTGTGCCTGACACATCACTATGAGACCATTCCGTTACCCAGTGGAACCTCCTTCAATGGCTCTCGGACGTTCCTGGAGAATGCTGCAGACATGGGGGGGCTGGCCATTGCACTACAGGTACCTCCCATCCCAGGAGCCAGGATCTGTTAATAGCCATTCCTTCTACCATCCCTCATGCAAACATAGTTGTAAAGCCTTCATTTCCCCACGGGACAGATGGGGTTCCCCCTCCTACCCCACAGATCCCTCTTTTCTAGGATATCCATAGATCTCTCACAAGCATGTGAGATCTATAGATTTTTTTTTTCTCCCCTGGCTTAGACCAGTGTGTCTGTGCAGAATTTGGGCAAAAGGGCCACAGACTGGTTTTGGGTGTTGTGTGTAGGGCATCAGACTTGCAAATGGCCATGGGTCTGGAGTCTAAGGGCTCCTCACCATCCCACCCCCATATCCAGGCATACAGCAAGAGGCTGTTATGGAACCACGGGGAGACCATCCTGCCGAACCTGGGCCTCAGTCCTCAGCAACTCTTCTTCCGAAGCTATGCCCAGGTAGGTTGCTGCCACCTCCCTCCACGGCTCGCTCCATGTCAGAGAAGTATCCTACTGCTAACGCTTAAAGAAGACTCCTCCCTGAAATGCCTTCTCCCAAACAGCCCCAACTCTCTGCCACAGAAGTCCCCACTGCCATCCTTTCATACCTAGCACCTGGGACCATCTTTTCATATTACTATAAATTCTTCTACCAAATTCAGCACCCCCTTCAAATAAAGAAAAGAAACTCTACTGCCAAATCCCTCTCTGAGATGAGGCCAACTTTTTCTTCTCTCATTTCTTCTCAAAACTGAGCCTCCAACAGATGATCTCTAGACCACATTCCTTCTCGGAGACCTCACCCCCAGGTGTGGTCCTCACCTGACAGCACCCCCTAAGTACCATATGCTCCCCCACCAAGACATTGCTCCCAATTCCTCAATATGCTGAAAGACCCCCTCACAAAGTTTTTCCAAGAAACCCCACCTCTGAGTCACTGACAAATGGTCTGATTGCACAGCCCAGGCCCTCCCTCACACGCCTCCTGCCAGATTAAGTGATGGACAAATGTGTGGCCTGATCCCGGCTCTCATCTCTGCCTGCTGTCTTTAGTCACCACCCTGGCATTGTTCGGCCTTGTCCTACTGACCCTGACCTTCCCTACGATTCTGCCTTTCTCCTTACGCCAGGCGCACCTCTCTTTCTCCACAGGTGATGTGTAGGGAGCCTGGCACCCAGGAGCCCCAGGATCCTCACAGCCCGCCCACCCTTCGAGTCCACGGGCCCCTCAGCAACACCCCAGCCTTTGCCAGACATTTCCACTGTCCACAGGGTGCCCTCATGAATCCCTCCAGCCACTGCCAACTCTGGTAACCTGGCTTCCACAGAGACTTCAATTCAGATGTCACAACATCTCCCTGCTCCAACCATGGGATCAGGCGATAATCTCCTTTCTCCTTCCCTTCCAAAAATAAAAGCTGGCACTTGGCATCTGCCTGTCTCTTAATGACTCTTTCTTGATATGTTCTATGCCTAGAAGTCAGAAAAGATAAGAGGAGAAAAGGCCGAGAGAGTTCCAGAGACAAAAGAAGAGGAGAGAACCAATGATTGGTGAACTAGTGGGTCTAAAGGTCAGTGGGCCACAGGTCCGGCAGTCAAACGGACCAGTTTGAGACACAAGGGCTTCAGTTAAACTTCAGAAAGCTGCCCCCACGTGTTTTCAGGATTTTACTGTTATTACTTTGATTGTTGCTGCCCCCTTGCCCTAATGTGCTCTCCCGAGCAGAGCCAGGAGAGGTGTGGGAGAGAGAAGTGCAAGGGCCTGGTGTCTCAGGACCTGGGAGATGGAGCTCAGAGGGTGGGGAGGCAGTGAGGCTGTGGCGATGGGTGGTTGGAAGGCCAGCACCAGGATCTCTCGGATGCTGCATCCTGAGGTGAAGAGCCACTGGCCAGAGGCAGGAAGCCATGCATATGCCTCCCGTGGGAGCAGTGACCTGGAGCCCAGTGAGGAGAGAGGGTCAGTAAGCTATCATGAAGCGGAGGTAGATATCCAGGTCCTCATCCAGGAACCAGGCCACCACTTCAGCCTCAATGTCCCTCATAAAAAAACCATGATGCTGGCCAGATTGAAGCAGAAGGCTAGGTCCAACAGGTGGTCACGAAGAGCTGCAGTGTTTGATGTCTTGTCATCTTCCTGCTGGGCCATGTCCACAATCTGCCACATCTCACCCACTGAGGAGGCCACAAAGTGCTCTTCAAAGTGCTCTTGATCCTGGTCTGGAACAAGGGCGAGGGGAAGGCACTGAGGGGGCTGATCCTAACCTGCCCCTACCCTGACCCCAACCTGTGCCAGAAATGGGACAAAGTTGGAGAATCTGGGAAGAAGTTAGGGCCTGGGGTTTTAGCCCAGTTGTGCAGACCCTGTCCTTGACCAAGGAGGCCAGTGCTCCATCTAGAGATCTCTTCCCATCTGTGTTCAACCACAGCACACACACCCCATTTCCACTTCAAACTGTCTCCTCCAAATCGCATTACACCATTCAGAGATGGAGGGACCACCTTAGGGAAGGACAGAAACCAGAGACTCTTCCCAGACAAATGCACCTGTGCCTATACACACACAAGATGCATGCACTTTTGGCTAGCCTGTGGTGTGCCCCTGAATATGGCCCTGGCCAAGAACCCTGCTCTAAACCCTTTCCCTGACCCTTTCACACTATAATAATAGGGGGCTGGGCTTGTCTCCCACAACCCAAACCTATCTCAGGTTTCACTCCAGCCTGATAAGTAGTAGGGGACTGACTCCAAAGAGATCTATCTGATCCTTAGCTCCAGATGCCATCCTCTCTTCTCTACCTACCTGTAGAGGGTATCTTCTCATTCTGACTCCTCTCGTTGGGGTCCAGGCTGCCTTTCTGAGGCTTCACTCCCTTGACCCGCAGCAGCAGCAGGATGGTGGCCAGGAATGCTGCCCTGCAGAGCTGGGAGTCTAGGAAAGTCATGGGCCTGCCCATCCGCTGCCTTTGGCCTTCCCTACTCCCCAGTGCCCAGCCAGCTCCCCCGCCTCCCTCCCCTGCCCCTGTTCCAGCCCTTATCACTTCCCAGCACCGTTTTCTTCCCTTCCCTTCCATAGGACCTCTGACTTCATGAGCTTTGTGACATCACAGCCATGGGACTGCCCCTCATTCAGGTCATTAGAGAGTTCCATTGTCAGGCAAGAGAGTGGTGAGTAGCCAGCAGCAGACGGCAGAGGCTTCTAGGATGGTCGTAGTGGGTCATCCTGTGGAGAGCAACCAAATGACTGAAGAGTTTGCCAGGTACTTTCACATCCATTTTGTCATGAGAGCCACATAGCAACCGGACTCAAAGTCATAGGATCATCATACCCATTATACAGATGAGGAAACCAAGCTTCCCAAAAGACATGACTCTTGCCCTTAGCATCACCAAGACAATAGGGTAGAGCAGGACTCTTGACCACCTCTTTTCTAGACATTCTAGACATCACCTCTTTCTCTCTTCCATGTGGCCCTTCTCCAAGGAAAGTGGCTTGTAGAGGCTGAGGCCCACAGCAGATGTGAAAATATCAGATCCTCAAGCCCTGGGCTGTACATGAAACTCAGGCCCATCAAAAATGAGGGAGGTGGAAAGGCACAGGTGGAGGGGGAGGAAAGTGTACATGGTGTGTATCTGTGTGTGTGCGTGTGTGAGCATGCACATGTGTGCGTGTATGAGGGACAGAACAGGGTCCCCTGCACCCAAGCAGAAACCATTCCCTCATTCCTCATCCTCCCCTAGACTTTCCTCTCCCTGAGCCTTTGCCCTCTTGTACTGGTAGACTGACACCCCACTTCTCTAGTTTTATAGCCTCTTATTATTCTCAGATACAAAGAAAAACTTGTTGGAGGCTCATTCTCTAAACTCCTTGCTCGATGGAAGTAGAGCCTTTAGAGAAGTACCCGTGTGGCAGAGAGGCGAGGATCCCAAACAACAGATCTCAAGAAACCTGCCTCAGTGCCCCAGGCCCGCCATGCCCATGAACCTGGTGAGCACAGATGTGTTGGCAGTAATGGGCTGTGGCTAATTACCTCCTGGAGCAGAGATGGTTGGGATGGGGTGGGGTGGGGTGGGGTGAGCTTGGGAGTTAGGATAAAGATCTGCCTGGACAACCAGAAACCAGTGCAGGCCATGAGCTACAGGAAGGGTGCTGGGGCAGGGGGGAGAAGATTGCAGGCACACCTGAGCTATCACAACCAGCTCACACCACTCCTGGAGCCCATGCGTCCCACACCTGAGTGAACCACCAAATGCAGGGGCTGGGCCATGCACAGAAATGTGTACCCTTTCTGGAAAGAGAATTATAGACGTGGGAGTGCAAGTGGAGACTCCTTCCCACAGATGGACCCTTGCTAGCAGATGAGCTCACCTGGAGGCTCTCATTGCCTCTTGTTTTCTTCCTGCTGATCCAGGCCAGGTGACGTGGTGACTGGGTAGTGCAGTGGTACACGAGGTCACTTGATGGTGGGAGAAGAAAGATTCAAGGAAGCAAGTGACCCTGCTCACCCCTACCTTGCACTCATTGACCTTCAGGTCCAGGAAACAATGCTTGGATGGAAAAAAAAAAAAAATCACTAATCGGGTTACTTTGGGGGAGGAGCCTCTTGGTTCCCAGCAAAAAGAGAAGCCCTCTCAGGCCCTGTGCATATCGATAGGGAGGGCGGCTAGGGGGGTGGGGCAGGCTGGTGTGGAAAGAACTGGGTTGTACTGACCACCATTCCTCACATTTCCTCACCACCCGCCTGCCCCATCCCCTGCGCTGGGAGAGATAAATCCTGCAGGAATGTAATTGTTTTTATCATAAAAGTATTTAAAAGCAGGAAAAGCAAAAAGGGCTAGTAATTCCACCATTCAGTGAAAATCACTGTTAATGTTTTAAAGCGTAGTATTTAAAACCCTTCCCTACATGGCTGTGGGTACATGGACTGGGAGAGTATTTCCTAGAAAATAAAACCCAGGTATGATTCATTTTCTTTCTCCTCATCACATCAGAACATGAGGTCTGACTGGTTTGGCGCCAAGGGGCTCTGGGACCTGACAGTGTAACGAGGGGCTCTTTGGCCATCACCGAGTCTCCCGAGACTGCAGGGAAGCTGCTACCTGAGGGAGAGGGGTCCTAGGTGTTTGTGTCCACAGAAGGCTGAGGGAGCATGAGAAGGAAGGAGGGAGAAATAGTTGTGGTAGGGGATATGACAAGGGCGGAGGAGTGAGGGGAGGAAGCCAGAGGGGAGCAAGGAACTCCTTAAAGATGAAGCAGTAGAGCTGATCCCCCACGCAGTCAAAAACCCCAGGGTAACTTTGGACTCCCCCAAACTTAACTACTCATAGCCTACTGTTGACTGCAAGCCTTACCAAAAACATACTGTCAACTAACACATATTTTGTATGCTATATGTATTAGATATTGTACTTTTCTAGTAAAGTAAACTAGAGAAAATTGTTAAGAAGATCGTATGGAAGAGAAAATATGTTTACAGTACTGTACTGTCTTTATCAAAAACTATCCACATAGAAGTGGCCCCGCGCAGTGGGCCTGGGCAAGTGAGAGGGTGGAAACCCAGAGTGGGGGCCCGTTCCCGGGCCCCCCTCTTTTCCCCACCCCAGACCCAAGGACAAAGCCCTTGGTAGCGAGCCCCCCTGCACCTGCTCTGTGCGGCTCTGACCGGGCCAGCCCCTCCCCGCCCCCACCGCCTCCAGGATTAGCTTTATGGTTTGAGTGTTGCCTCAGCAGGCAGGTGCTCCTTTCTCTGCCAGCCCCCTGCTTATCAGTGCATCTACAACCCCCACCTCAACCTTATCGCTCCGTCCATCTCCTTAGACTGGAAGTCCCAAGGCTTCAGAGGCCATTACCATCCCACACCACCCCAGTCCCCAGCAAAGCAGAAAACTGCCCTACAAGGTGACCGCCTCCCCCTTCCCGGCTGGCACCTCCCCACTCCCTGGGTGAGAGCGTGCTTCCTCCTGTCTCTGGCATCTCTTCCTTTCCTTATTTGTCTCCTTTCAATTCTCCTCTAAAAGTCATTTTGTCCATCCTTCAATCTTATACTAAAAGAAGGGGGGGGTCCCCTGCTCCTGAAGACCCCCAAGGGGAAGGGTCCCAGCCCGTGTCCCCCCAAGTCTCTCACGTCTGTGCAGGCAGAAGGTTCCCAAGAAACAACAGGTTGTGGCAGATGATTTGGAGCTAAATTTCCAACTTTAATGCCAGTTCTAGTTTTGCTGCTAGCCATGGGACATCACCCACCCCCCTGTGCTCTGTCTCCTCATTAGAATATAAAGAGAGCCCCCAACCTATTCCCATGTACCTCCCTGGCCTCCTGAATGACTCCAATTCAATAAATGCGTTTACGATCCGAAGAGAAATGGAACCCATCCTATCGGAAAACAACACGAGGTCTTCTGTCCTCAATCTTCCTGCCTACTCATTCCTGGGGAAAGTCCCAAGATTTCTCCATCCACCACCTTGGCTCAGCAACTATGGTTCCACCTCTGGGGCCTCCCCTGACTGGGGATCCATGAGGCTGGGAGGAAAGACAGAGGAGGGTGGCCCAGAAGCCTCCAGGAGGCTGGCTGTAGGGTTGAGGACAGAGACAACCACAACACGGAGAAGCAGCCCCTTGGGGCTTGGAGTCTGTGGAAGGAGAACCAACAGTCCCTGAGCTCTTATGATCATGCTTTAAGGGACACTTCCATGAGACAGTACAATTATTGGCCTGATTCTACAGATTGGAAGACTGAGGCGCAGAAAGCTCACCTAACTGATCTGTAGGGGCCAAGAGCCAGAATTCAAACCAGGACCTGCCTGATTGCTGAGCTGGAGGGCTTCACTTTCTTACTGTCCTGTATCCCAGTGAGTGCTTACCTTGCTTGTGGGGCCCACCTTCTGGGCTCCATCCTTGCTCCCCCTCTATTTTCCATTGTCTCACCCTCCCTCACCTTCCCCTGTCTCACTTGGGACCCCAGCCCACTGCCAGGAACGAAGATCCCCCCCCCACCCTCCTCTCCCAGCTCTAGGGCAGGTTCTGTGCCCCAGGGGCTCTCTAGAAAGAGCTCCTCCTCCTCCAGGTGAAGCTGCTTTCTCTTGGCAGGGCCCCCAGTCCCCTCGGTGCATGCAGGCATGCATGCGCGCGCGCACACAGACACACACACACCCCACCCACAAACTGCACGCTGCATACACAAGTCACACAGGAGACAGACTCTCAGTCCCAACCCCAAACAGACTCCGCCTCCTCCTCAGTTGAGGAGTCCCAGACTGGCTCCTTTTACCACATTCCCTAACCTGCCAGTGCCTGAAAGGAGAAGATATGGGGGCTCCTCCACCTAAGGCAGAGGGACCCTGGGTCCAACTCCAGAAACTTCTGGCCTCCTGGCTGGTCAGAGAGCAGGACTGGGGTCAGCACGTGGACGAGGCCCACATGCTGCAACAGAAGAGGTAGGCTGCCCCAAGTCATGCTGCATCCCACCCCTCACTGACCTCCGAGCCCTCCGATCCACGCGGGTGTGTCTCCCCCTTGGAGCAACCCGACATTCAATGCCAGGCACTGGGCTGTACCCAGCCCACTCGTTACAAACCCCAGCTGCCTCTTTTCATGGGCCGGGCAGGAGGAGACTCAATGCAGATTCAAAGCCAGGGACAAAATCACACCACAGCTCTAAACTGCCTGCCTGGTGGCGGAGGGGTGCGGGGGACAGAAAGGGACCGGACAGAGGAAGGCTGACTGCAGAGAGAGGCAGGTGCAGGCTGAGGGGGGAACAAGTTACTGGGGGAAGGCATGAGAGCCTGCAGGGTTTTGAAGACTTGTTGCCTTGAGAAAGAGTGAGGAATTCCCACGAGTATGAATGAAAGTTGACTGTGTGCAAACGGGGAGGAGAGTTCTGCTTTGTATTACATCTGGAGCTGACCAGCTGATAAGGGAAACTCAGCTTATCTACCTTTTATTGAGAGTCTACTGTATCCAGTCCTTATCCCAAGGACACAGAGATTGAATGAGGCCGGTGCCTGCCCC